CTGCCCCGGGTCTGCAGGCCGTCCGTCCGTCCCGGCTGCCCCGGGTCTGCAGGCCGTCCGTCCGTCCCGGCTGCCCCGGGTCTGCAGGCCGTCCGTCCGTCCCGGCTGCCCCGGGTCTGCAGCACTACCTCTCAACTGCATACCTTGTTCTCCCAATCCTCTGCTATCTGCTCTCAGTTGAACTCTGTCAGGTGTCAGGCAGCCTCTTAGAGAATCTGTCCTCTGCCCTGTGCCGCCTTCAGGCAGGGGACATGGGTGTCACCTGTAGAACTGAGCAAGTTCATCAGCACTCACTCTGAACTCGGCTCCGCTGAACCCCACCCAGCAAATCTGTGGCAAGTTCATAAATCAGTTGGTAAACTCTTGAACCCATATTTAGAAGTCATTTAAAATCCCCCATTTCTAAGCGGAGTAACTATTTCTGCCTGCCGGAGGAGACACGCTATTTCCTCAGGCGAGGTCTTCTTGTGTCTTTTTCAGCTCAGTAAATGGCTTTGTGGCTATTTCCCAAACTGATTCAACCAGAAAGCAGGGACTTTGGGGAGTACTGCTTGCCTTCTCCCATCTAGTCAGCCAGCTGCCAGCTACATCTCCAAAATATAAAAGCCAAAAGGAAGAGATAAGAGAAAACTTTGATTCCTTTAGTGTGAACTGATGAACAAGAACAGTAGACTGACTGAAGCCGAGAAGTGACAGCAAGAAATCCCACGGTGGCGGGAGAGCTAATCTAGACTGAGAAGCCGCAAGAGACCACTTGGGGCACAGTGAGCCTTCACCCCAAGGAACGGAGGAACGGAGCTGAGCACCCAAGGGAGTGGAGTATGGGGGATATGGTGAGAAGGCAATGGGGGTAGGCAGCCAATCACCTCCACGCCTAGGCAGAGCGGGGACGTTTCTCAAAAAAGCTACCTCACGGGGTGAGTGTTAGTCACACTAGGAGAAGGGATTGAAATGAGAGCCGAGAGAAAGGCGTTAGGTCTTACGGTTCTACAGCGCCTATTTCTAGGAACAAAGATACAAAGGAACTGGTTCCTGGACTCTCTTCAGTGAGTCATGAACTTTCTTCCTAACCTGCCTGCAGCCCACATACGTGTGAAAAAGAATCCCTACTTGCTTACCCAGAGTTCCCAGCGCCTACATCATGGCAGCCACCTAAACACCCAGGCAAAGCGGATGACTGAAACTATGACAATACAGTGTGTCCTCAAGGCCTTCAGAGACGGCCCAGCTAAGGGGTGTGGGAGGAAAGCAAGGGAAATGGAGTAGAGGAGTGAGGGCACTAGAGGTAACCGACAGGGAGGACAGGAAGGCAGGTACAGAGTGGGAAGTTTTCTCACGGAATATGACAGTCATCCATCAATCCATCAGTCAGTGGGACGGCCCCAGAGTAGCTGCTTCAGGAAGGGTGAGAAAAGAGTCAGCACCAAGAGGACCCAGAAGGGAGACTTTGGAAGAGGTGAGGCACAGCAGTCTCAGGGTTCTGCAGCACAGTGATACCCTAACGGAAGTACGCAGCCCTGTCCAGGCACAGTGATACCCTAACGGAAGTATGCAGCCCTGTCCAGGCACAGTGATACCCTAACGGAAGTACGCAGCCCTGACCAGGCACACTGCAGATGGCAGTGGAAACATGAACACAAAGACACATTGCTCCTACCATACAGAATTTACTGGGGCTTTCTCCATCAAATGGAAAGCCATCGCCAGTTCTTTTGGATCCCCTAGGCTGTTCGGACTCCTCATCTGTATCCATGTCGTTAAAAGAAGTTGACAGCCATCTTTTATCAAAGGTGAACTTCTCCTTGGCCGAAGATGCTTCATCCCTGGCGTGGTTTGGAGTAGCTCTCCTGTCTGGGGTTCTACAGAGGGGTGATGCTGAAGGCTGTGAGCTGGGTGTTCCTCCAATTTCAGGGCTTGAGGGCTGGGATGGGAAATCTGCTGGAGATGCACAGGCGCTAGAGAGCTGCTTCTGCAAGAAGTGCTTCAGACGCGTCTTCCTGGGGAAACTGCGCTTCCTGATGGCGTTCCTGAGCTCGGACTCTTGGGCAATGACATACACTCTGGAGCGGCCCCTCGTCACTGCGGTGTAGACATGTTGCCAGTGCTGGCGGCCTGCCTTCCCCAGTACATAGGCGACTGTGTTCTCCTCGGACCCCTGAGAGGTAAAAACAGTGGGAAGACTTAGCACAGCAACTCAATGAGGTGGGCTCAGGGATGAGGCTAGGAGGATGGCTCACAAGTGAAAATGTTTGAATAACCAGATGCCCCGTAAAAGCCTCACCTAGCTAGCCTGGCGAACACAGCAGGAAAGCAAGGAAATGACCAAGGAGTGGTGACCAAGGGCACGAGACTGCTCTGACCTCCACACATGCACAGCAGCACCAGAATACCTGCATTCATACATACAAATATGCACGTGCATACAGACACACATACACAACACGTGCACACAAACACACATACACAACACGTGCACACAAACACAACACGTGCACACAAACACACATACACAATACTAAAAGAGGAGAGAGTCTTCACGGTACTTTCTCATCCTTCTCCTCGGCCAGTGGGTCTACACTCCATCCATTCTTCCTGCAGAATCAATTTTATTCATTATCTCAAAACTCATGCTTGTTAAATACGCTACCAACATTAGGTTCCATGGGGCCACAGCTGGCTTCTGGTGACAAAAACAAACTGTAAAGACTACACGGAGTGCTCCAATTTCCCTGAACAAAGACTTTGAAATGGCTGCACAAACCTACACATAAACGTGTTACACAGGAGTCACTCCAGAGTGGACGTCATCACCGAAGAGTCTGAGCTCAGGAGGACATCAGGAATGTGTTTACCAATAATGGCAAAGAAAAGGATATATAAAATAGCCAATAACAGGAGAATATATAAATATGTACAGACACCATGTATGCCCGCATCAAAGGTAAACACACACACACACACACAGATTGTCTAGAGAATGGCTCTATCAGTAGAGTGCCAGTCACACAAACATAAAACCCTGGTCCAGATCCCCAGTACCCATGCAGAAAAATAAATAAATAAATTAGTTCACGCCTGTAACCTCAGTACTAGTGAAGCAGACAAGAAACTCTGCAGGGCTTGTGGGCTAGCCAGTCTGTTCACATTAGCAAATTTCAGGTTTAATTAGGGTCTTAAAGAACAGATGAGGAGCTAATAAGGCCACCTGACATTAACCTCTGGCCGCCACACACATGTGCTCATACATGCATGAGCACATCTGACACACACACGAGCACACAAGACATATTCACACATACAAATGTGCACACACAAATATAACTCTATATGATCTGAATTATACTCAAACAAGAACTCTGATTGCCAAACATAAAGACAATGTAGGTATTAACAGACTATAAAGGCTTGGGAGATGGCTCCAGCTAACATGCCTTCCTCACACACATGGAGACTTGAGCTCAGTTTCAAAATGCAGGGCGCGCAGAAGAGAACAAAGTGCGTCGAGCATTTCCTGCGCTTCTGTGCTCAGAAACAAAGGCTAAGGAAGGGAGCTCAGCGACCTGTCGTGTGCACGTCCTACGTGGGAAGCAGCTCTCAGAAACCTGTCGTGTACACGTCCTACGTGGGAAGCAGCTCTCAGAAACCTGTCGTGTACACGTCCTACGTGGGAAGCAGCTCTCAGAAACTGAAGCAAAACGAGAAACCAGGACAGCACGGAAAAAGTTCAAATTAATAACAGCAAAAGAAATGCAAAAGAAAACAATGCGAGGGGGGGCTTCATGTTGTGGTGAAGTTACAGTTAGCCCTGACTGTCAGCCTGGGGGGGCTTCATGTTGTGGTGAAGTTATAGTTAGCCCTAACTGTCAGCCTGATGAGACCAAGAGACACAGAGAAGACGCATCTCCAGACATCTATGAGGGAGCTTCTGACTGTGTTCACTGAAGTGGAAAGACCCACTCTAACCAGGCAGAAATCATTCCATGGGCTGGGATCCCAGATTGGATGAAAAGGAGACAGAGCTGAGCAGCCGTGTTCATCTTCTGCCTCCTCACTATGGATGCAATGTGACCAACCACCTCACGCTCCTGCTCTGTCTTCCCCGCCACGAGGGCCCAACCCTCAAACTGTAAGCCGCAAAAAACTCCTCCGTCAACCTCTCTCGCCAGGCACTTTGTCACGCTGATGATAAAACCTTACTAACACAAGCAGGTACTCAAGTGGCTATGTGAGCATCTGCTCTCACCTGGAAAGTGTGGACAGTCCGCGCCCAGGCGTGTCTTATCTGACAGTGTCTCACCAGTTTGTTAAAGTCCACAGTCACTTCCAGACCAGCCTCATTGCTGATGGTCAAAAGTCTTTTTGCTTGGAAGGTTACATCAGTTTTATCCTGGGACCAAGACAAAGAAAACTTTGCGTTCATTCAAGCCCATATGTGATAAAGATAGTCTTAGGATGCAACACAAATACCAGCATTATACATCAAATTAAGAATTTCCAGGTGCTTGGGGCTGACAGTACTTGTGAGGCTCTGGGTTCGATATCCAGAATGGAGCAACCACAACAGACTTGAAAAGACTTCAAATCCATCCTTAATGGAATGCCTTCACATTTGAGTGTTTCAATGAGCAGAAACAGAAACTTCCGGTCCTCACACATCCTTCCCCTCCCAGCCCTTACAGAGTATTTTCAGCACGGGAGGGGTCTACACAAGAATAAGCAGAAACTGTTACTAAAGTTTCTACACTGAAGCTACACCTAGGGATAGCTGTGTCCTTGTCCTTTGTTAGTCAAACTTCCAGCTTACCACAAAGAAGGTTTCCTTCCATACCTTTCATTAAAAAAAGTTAAAGTAATGCTTTCCAGCTCAACTATTCCCAATTATTCCGTCACATTCTGATCAAGACATTGCTTAAAAACACCCAAAACCCTACAGACCAATATACACCTTGAAGGATGATGTATAAAAACTTCTAAGAAAACACTGAACAAGAATATCATCTCTGATGTGATTAAATCCTGAATGAAATTGAAGACTTTAGAAAAAAAACAAAAAACTCTAATTGGCAAACATTGTTACCTAAGACTTACCCTCTTTATGAAAAATATTTCCCCATTGCACAGTCGAATGTCATTTTCAAAATCCTGCGGGATTTCAAAATCGGAAGGGGGATCACCAGAGGGGGCAGCATCGGAGGGGGCAGCATCGGAGGGGGCAGCATCAGAACCTTTCCCATTGGTTTTCAAGTCCTTGTCAGGGATTAAATCTGCGAGATAGGCGTTCCGGGTACAGCAGATTTTATCATTGACTGCAAAGATGAGCTTTTTCTTGTGGTCTCTGTATTAGGAAGCAATCACACACCATCAGAACCTGGAGACGTTCTCTTCACCTCAGATCCGCACTCCACCCAGAGCTGATACAAAGTCACGTGCACACATCTTTGAGTCATTCTCCAAAGGGCAAGAGGTCAAGCTGCCGTCGCTGTCTCCGGCTTATTTTATGCTCACCCCTGGTCACCTTAAACCCTTTGGCCCAGTTGAGCTCTCTCCAGTTAGAGACACTGGTGTGGCTGCTCTGGTCCGTCCGTTTTCTAAACCGAAAGCCTTATTTTTTCATGCAAATTACTCTCTCTCTCTCTACATTCTGCAAGAGAGCTTCCTCATATTTCCATTTTTAATAATTATGGCACCGCTCTGTGGAAAGAGCAGCAATGGGCCTATCACTGCAAAAGCACTGGGTTGATTCTTCATTCTGCTCTTCTTCCACCCTTTAGGGACCTCTGTGCAGTCAGTTTCGCTTACAGAAATGGAAAGATAAAATTACTCGACAAGGGCAGGGTGCTAGGACCACGATTGCGTGGGCCCCACCAAGCACATTCTGAATCCTCTGTTGGGCCACCCAACAGTGTTTTGTGACAGGGGTTTCTATATTTTACACAACCCCAGTGTTGAACACGTGCTGGCAAATACAAGAAATATGAATTAACTAGTTAATGTGCAAGCATGGTGACTCAGCTACACTCCTGCTCCTCCGGTCACTCAAACAGGGTTCTCTACACACAGCCTGTGGCGCAGGCCCCGGGAAATACCACACGGCCACGGCGTCCCTTTATTCTCCACACTGATCTTGAAGTTGGAGGCTGCCAGCCTGGACACCACAGGGAAATGACCGTTCCTTATTTCTCATCTTATTCTACTCAGTGTTCAGGCTGATTTCTAATGACATACAATTAATCTAATTAAAGAGACCATTATGCTTCTGCGTATGTGACAAACAGCAAACCAAGGCAGGCCTGCTTCCTGGGTGTCAGTGAGAAGGGTGCTCACTTGATGAGATGGTTTGTGTAGTGCTTAGCGCAGCAGTCATTGATGAGGTCACAGTCCTGCCTGAAACACATGAAAACCAGAGTCACGTCAGTGATACGTGTCACACACTGGCTGATGTCTACTGACAATTACATACCGGGCCCCGGGGTTTTTAAATGCTGTTGTTGTGAACTGGGAATGGAGCTGGGGGCTCTGCGCAAGCTAGTCCCTGCTGCTAGAGTACATCCCATAAGATGGTTCCAGAACTTTCTCAAGGAAAAAGTAGTTTGTTTTTTGTTTGTTTGTTTGTTTGTTTCTCTTTTGTTTTATTGAGAGAGAGTTTCTCTGGGTAGTCCTGGCCATCCTGAAAAACTCACTCTGTATATAAGGCTGACCTCGAACTCAGAGATCCACCTGTCTCAGCCTCCCAAGTGCTGAGATTTAAAGGCGTGTACCACCATGCCCAGCCGGGGAAAAAAAAGTGTTTTATAATTTTTACCTCCACATAGTTTTGTTCCACTCACATTTACTGCGAGTGTATAAATACACTGTATAAAAACAGCCCTGGTATGAATACCTTCTGACACGGCTAACAAAAAGATACTTCAGAGTAAGAATGAGAATTAATAATGAAAAATTACAAGTTTCTCCCCCTAAGCACAACGTACACTAAAACACGATGCTGTTTAAAAGTTAGATGGAGTATATTAGCACAGTATAAAAGCTTTACCTTCTAAATGCAATAAACTGTGATGCCTTTGCATTCTCAAAGTCTTTTCCTTGGAGCAAAGCTGTAATCGCAGAATATAAATCTGGCAAAGAGAAAAAGGTTAACACAGAGAAATCGCCAAATTGTAATGCTATTTCTGTGGGAAAATTAGCTAGCAGTCCCACACAAAACATTTCATTCATGAAATGCAAGGCCACCGTGGGAACATCTACATCATTGTCGGCATGCGCCATGGCAGTGGGAAGAACGCGAGGAAGGCTTGAGCCCCAGAGGTACTACATGGTAAGTCAGCTGGAGTCTGAAATCTGTAAGTTAAGTAGTACATTATATAAAGTATTACCATACTCAAGGCTGAGTCTTAGCAGGTGTATGCCAACTTACAATATTCAGGTATTTCTACATCGGCTACCAAGGGGCCACGAGCCTAACACGACATTTGCCCCACCTTCCCCTCAACTTTCTCTTTCCTGTCCTGCCCAGCCCTCCCATCATCCGGCCACTAAATCCTCAGTCGGAGCAGGAAGGGCTCTAGTGTGCTCACACCCTGCCAGCTGCTATGGGGTGCGGTCACGAGCTGCACTCATCTGAAAGAGCGAAAATAAGGCTGGGGAAAGTCATTTTCCAAAGGGGCAGGTGGCCGGCCATCTCCTTCAGAGCTCAGAGGGTTAACTGGGGGGGTCCTTCATACTCGTCCACACCGTTCACTGGCAGGCAGCTCTCCTCTCGTCTCTCAGCAACGGTACAAAACAAGTCACCATGCTCACAGGAAAGTAAAACTCGGAGTAGTGGGCGAGGGATATAGTTTAGAGGGTTTGTCTAGCAGCTCTAAGGCACTGTGTTCGAGCCTTATTACCACATGAACTGGGCATGGTGGCTGGCCCACACCTGATCCCCAACAGAAGATCAGAGGTCCAAAGGTATATACTGATTCGGGGACTAGCCTGGTCTACAGGAGACCCTAGTCTATAAAACAACAACTACGAAAAGAAACTCACACCTGGATCCGTGAGCTGGGCATAGGGCATGGGCCTATTATGCTAGTGCAGGGCAGGCAGGGGGATAGGGAGGTCAAAGTCAGCCTCAGCTAGATAGTAAATTCGATAGCATCCTAGGCTACATGAGACCCTGCCTCAAGAAAAAAAAAAAGGGGGGGGGTGTAGGAGGACAGGCACATTGCAGGATTTGTGTCTCATCTAGAAGCAGATGAATCATGGGGTACTGTGGTGTTCGGCTCTAGAAAGACAAAGCAAACTGCTCACAGAGACTTTCATTTCTTCCGTGAAGAAATGATACTCTCCAGAAAATAGCTGACCTCACATCACCCCGAGTCACGCCTGGCTTGCTAGAGCAGAAACGTCCAGGCCTCCTAATCTGCACCTCGGTCTCCTCCCTGTCTCACAGATCCGCAGACACTGTGCATCTTACTGTTTTTAAGACACAGAGTTTAGACTCTCTGAAATTCTGGCCCAGTTATGGAGCCCGTCTTGGGTCTCTGTATTTTGTAACAGTGGGGATGACTTACTCAATAACTTATTAATGAGAAAGTGCTGTTTGCCTCTCCAAGGAATATTTACCCAGTTTTCGGAAAGAAGAAGCTAATTCTCCACCAACAGTTTTTAATTAAAATGGGCAATCAGCTAAGCTCTGCCAGCACTGGGAAATGGACAACTTGTTTTCCTTTTAAGAGCACAGAGCACAGTCTCCTGAGTGGGGCATGGCAGCAGAGGCCTGCAATCCCTGGTTAGGAAGGTGAACACAGGCAGAGGCCTGGACTACAGAAGACCCTGGCTCACTCAAACTAGAGTATATTCTCTTTAATATACAGAACAGGTACCAAGATAAGCAACGCTTGAGCTATGCTATACGGAGCTGCGAAGAAAGCAAGTTAGGGAAGCCAGCACCTGCTTTTCTCATGTGTACTAGTACCTATGTTAACTAAGCTTTTTGAGAATACACATCAGCTATCATATTTAATTAAAACCAGCTCACAAAATACACATCTTATTATCCAATTTATATAAAACTAACATGAATGATGGGATTGGATATGCACACAATGGTAGACAGACTTAGGTGTTTTGAAGCTGTCTGTCAACTCGGTTGACGGGGCGGTGACTGAGTGTAAAGGGTGTGTCTGTGAGGACTGTGCCCGCTACAGTCGGTTCTCAGAAGAATCAAATCATTCCTCATCCAGCTCTGAGGATACACTAGTCCTCAAGTTTGCTAAATTGGTTTTGAATCTAAATCAAGACCAGGAGAACCTCGCTACTGTTCTGCTTTCGTTTCTGTTGCTGTGATACAATACCAGGAGCAACTTAGGGGAAGAAGGAATGTGCCTCGCTCACAGGGCATATTCCATCACCGAATGAATTCAGAGCCAGAAGCCAAACAGGATCTTGAAGTAGACACCATGGAGTATCCTGCTTGCTGCCTCACTTGGCTCTTGCTTAGCTGGTTTTCATACAGCCCAGAACTACCTACGTAGGGATTGTGCCACCCACAGTGGGCTAAGCCCTCCCACATGGATGAACATCTAAACAAACTCCCACAGACACGCCCACAGGCCAACTGATCTGGGCAATTCCTCACCTGAAATTCCCTTCTCAGAGCTTCTAGGCTGTGTCAAGTTAACAAAATCAACCAAGACAACTATATCCAAAGAAAATTATTTGCCATAAGCAATTTAATGATATTTTATAGTATTTATGTAAATATTCTTAATATGGATGTCCCTGCAGAGTCACAGGCACCAAATCTTGATTGTTATTTCACGCTTGTTGAAATGACTTGGGTCATGTGCTCAAGGGAGAAGACACCACATCCCATGCTCTTTCTCAGCCCTGACAAGTTGACATTAAATACCCAAAATTACACGTGGTATTTATCTGTTTAATGGTAATCACAGTTCACAAATATACTCACAGAAAGTAATGGTAAAATTTCATTAAATAAGACTTGCTGTCTCCTGAAGAGATTTGGATTGCCAAGACTCAATAAAGATCATCTCCAGCCACTTGACTGACTTGTCAAGTATTTTATGAGAGTCCTTACAGGTGTCGAGAGCTCACTCCCAAAGGTCTAGAGCAGTGGTCTTCAACCTGTGAGTCACAACCCCTCTGGGGTTCGAATGACCCTTTCACAAGACTCACTTAAAACCATCGGAGGACACGGATACGTACACCACAATTCATAGCAGCAGCAAAATTACAGTTACGAAGTAGCAGCAAAAATGATTTATGGCTGGGGGTCCCCACAGCATGAGGAACTGTATGAAAAGATCACAGCATTAGGGAGGCTGAGATCGCTGCTTTAGAGTCGCCTCCTTCTGACAATCCTTAGGCTGCTTTATTTCCAGGGCTCCATCTTTCACTAGCAATACCTACCTTTAGCATCCGATAATGCACAACTAGTCCTTTAATGACAGTATCACAAAACTAAAGTACATGTAAGTCTACATCAACACTTACTGGATCGGTGTTCACCTTTAGCTGACTGAGAACTGCCGTCCTCTTCAGGAAGTCTCACAAAAATGAATGTCTTATCTTGAATGGAGATGGGTAACGTGGGATTATCAGAGATATTTAGTTCTGCATCAAATTCCGGAAACTGGCGCCTGGAGATTCTTAAATTAAAGATAGGTAAGTAGTATATATATGTCATATAATATGTGTAATATATATGTATGTGTGTATATATGTATATATGTATGTATATATATATATATATATATATAAAAGCATTACCACCCACAAATGTGTCTTTGTATATGAAGCAACCAAATTCCCTTACATTAACTCATACCAGTTAGTGGATGAGGGGAAGAGAGAGCCTGGCAGGTGCAGACAGCAGCCAATCATTTTATAACATACTACAAATACCGTAAGATTTTAGTACTATATTTAGCAATCACTTCCCCCACTACAAGCCAACTAAAAGTATCTGAAAAGAAATGATCATACCATGAGCCATGCCCCATGCTGAGAATCAGACCACTAAATAGCACAAGAAGGAGGTCTTTGCCTCGCGACCCAGGGGAGTGATATGAGACCGAGTCAAGTTTAAGAAATGCAGTCAAGCAATATGAGATGGAGTCAAGATTCCTGAGTTCCCAAGGCCACATATGCAGAACTCAGGGTCCTGGGATGCCAGTCTGCACCCAGTGGTGCATATCTCTTTCTAGGTAAGCCGTCCTGCACTAAACGGAGCCCTTTTCATGCTATGGTGATGCCCATCCTTTGTTTGCTGTTCTGTGGACTGTATGTAGGCTCCCATCTTCCCAGCTGAGTCAGGTACCCCATCTGCCTACTGGTTCTGCCTCTCCATCTTCCTTTCTGTCATGTAGTTTCCAGTTAATCATAGGACATGGCAAGGTCCGGGTGCCTCACGGTAACAGAGCCTCTGAATGAGTCTAGGAACACACTTAACAGAGGTGTGGAGGGGAGAAGCCCTTCTGTGCCTTCAGCCACGCCCAGGAAGACAGAGGTGTGGAGGGGAGATGCCCTTCTGTGCCTTCAGCCACGCCCAGGAAGACAGAGGTGTGGAGGGGAGATGCCCTTCTGTGCCACCTTCTGTGCCCCAGGAAGAGTTGAAAGAAAATGACCTGGAAGGAGTTGGCTGCTCTTGCTGGCCATATCTCAGAGTTAGCGTGGAAGTTCCCAGCAATCAACATGGACTTCCTGCTTGGCTAGTGGCCCAGGACCTGTAACATGTGCCCCCTGGTATGTCATACAGACCATAGGTCAGTAACGCTGGAGGACGTGATGGAATTAAAAGCGGTGGCACAGGCACGGCTTGAACAAAAGAACACTGACCCGGTTGCTAAGAAGAGCGCCCAAGTCCAGAGAAAGTCAAACTCTACTTGATTAGTTTCCTGAACGTTTGACAGACTTTAAAAGGATTTAATAAGACTGAGGTAGCCTTTGGGTAGAAGCAAAAAAGCTATAGAAAAAGAATACTAAGAATCCAATTAATCTTGGTGTTTTGACAGAAGTCTACAATAATTACCCTACCCCTACCAATTCCTACCGTTCCCACCATCCCACTCAGGGTGGACGGGGCATACGAAAGAATGTTTTAATATAGTCAAGGTTCTGGTGACCTACAACCAAGCAAATGTACACAGAGCAAAAACAGAATTTATAAAATAGTAAAAAGTTAAAGACAAAATTTGACCCAGTGAACAAAACCATCTCTTAGTATTCCATGGTCCCATTGCACCCAGAGACAGTAACATCTTAAAAGTCACAGAACAGTAATAATCCCGATTCTCCAATATACTGAATATGGAGAAACCAAACACCCGAGCCCTGAGAGGAACCCCAAAAGCTTATATAGAAACACTGGGGAAAAGAACTTCCTTCCACTGAGGAGTAGATGCCTTGCAGGCCACCAGGGCTCATCTCAGAGTCAAATCCTACATTTGCTTTTTTTGCTTTGGGCTTTTTTTCCCACAGAAATTATCAGAAATTTCTTTTCCAATTTTCCTTTGAATTTAAGACTCATTTCCAAGTCTCTGTTGCCTTGGGCATAGTCCAGATTCTAGGCTTAACACAACTTTAATTCCCATACAGCCGTCCCTGTGTATTGCCTTTCAGAATCTTCTGATGATAAGAAGATTCTGTGAATGCCAAGCCCATATATAAAATGGCATGGTAGGGGGCTGGAGAGATGGCTCAGCGGTTAAGAGCACTGACTGCTCTTCCAGATGACCTGAGTTCAATTCCCAGCACCCACATGGCAGCTAACAACTGTCTGTAACTCCAAGATCTGACACCCTCACACATAGAGACATACATGCAGGCAAAACACCAATGCATATAAAATAAAAATAAATAAATTATTGAAGGAAAAAATGGCATGGTAGCTTCATATAATGTACATACTACCAGATTATTTTAGATCATCTCGAGATGATGTGTGATACCTAAGGCCATGGATGATCACTACAGGGCGATCACACAGTGAAGAATCTGTACATGTTCAATGCAGGTGCAATATTTTCAAATATTTTAATCTGGTAAGTTGCACACATAGATATAGAACCCACAGATACAAAGAACCAGACCTATGTACTTCTAAAATCAAGAAATATATCCATTCCTAAATGTTAACCATAGTTTATGCTGGGCCAGTAACGAAAGATACTGACTTTGGTTTTCTAACTGTGCCAACAGGCTATGGTAAAGGGACAGAACAGGTTTACTAAAAGGACACAATAAAGCATTGTACTAAATCATCTGGTTCAAAGGCTTTAAACAAACAAATACTTCATTGCTAATACAGCAGAGACAAAATTCCGGAACTTCATTAGCTCATACCTGGTGGCATTGTCCACAATCAGCTGGGACTCTGTCCTGTGGTTTGTCTTTAACTCAATGGCACACCCTCTTGACCTAAGCGTCTCAAAAACGTCCTGCAGCATGTTGCCAGGCTCAATGCTGGGTAACTGTCTAACGTCACCTGCAGAGAGGAAGGGGCATCAAGATGATGATATTTAACTAGGATGCTACAATTCGGAAATTATTTTTATCCTGCCAATTGAGAGTATAATTGTAGACTTCTTGTAACGTAGAAAAAAAGTTTCTGAAGTTGTTATCTAAAATTATTTAAGAATATTAAATATCCTGGGAAGATTAGGAGAAAGGAGGATTGATTTAATAAAAATGCAACACATGAAATTAAAAATGAATTCTCAGTACAAGTATTACATTCAAATAAATACTAAATATTTTTTAACCAAACTGAATTGTATACGACATAAAATTCTGTGTGAATATACAATAAGGTGACAAACTTTTAACCGATCTTCTTCCTAACTGTGACCCAGGAAAACCACTAAGAACATATACATTAGAATATGTTTAAAAATCAGACCCCAGACATCTCGTAGGTGCTCCCTGATTCAGTCTGGCTCATCGTGACACAGAACCTGCGGAAGCCACGGCTCAGTGCCTAAAACAAGCCCACTAAACAGAAAATGCGTATGCTGAACTGGTGTGAAAATAGACAAACCCTAGCCGCCAAATGACAATGCTTCAGAAACTGAAAATCACAGTGTGATACGAAAAGGCAAACTCTAGAGAAAAGAAAAAAAAAGACCGATAACTGGGAGAATGCTAAAGATTTAACAGAATCATCTGCTTATCAAACATCCCCAAATACCAAAAATAAATAGTATTTCTATACAAGCTCATTACAATTAAACCACAGAATCAACTGATCAGTAAACCTCTACAGAATCTAACTAAATCTCATCCGATTAGGAGGCTGGCGAAGCCTAATTTGAATTATTAGCTTAGAAACATAAAATTACTGTAAAGTGGTCTATAACTCAGACTTTTTATTATTTCCAAATGATCTATATCCTGATTTAGTCTGACTCTGACATTTTTACTATTTTAATAGCAATTACTCAAGCAATGAGCAATAACTTATCACGGCCGTTCTCATCCGTCCTAGCTGGCTGGCACACTGGCCAGGAGACCCGCCCAGGCTGGGAAGGACAGCAGGCAGCCTTATTAACCGGTAGCCGTGGAATGGGCTGAGAAAAACGCTTGCCACCGCCAACAAGCTGAAGCCTGGAATGACATCCACAACGCGGCCCACTCTGACTGAATGTGGAGACTCTTGCGGTGTTTTAACTTACCAAGGATTATCAGTTTAGAAAGTTTGGCGTGCTCACACAATAACTTCAAAACTGATTTTAAGATTCCGACAGACACCAAACTTCCTTCGTCCACAACCAGAACACGAACTGTAGAGAATTTCCATGCCTTGTCCCCCTTAAGTTTCTTCCAAAAATAGAAGCTATAACTGACCTGTAAGTAAAGTATACATATTAAAAAGAATCAGGTTAGAAATTAACAAGCATGTGGTTTCAAAAACAAAACTTCTGTGACAGACAGGTGAGGGGGTAAAAACACAAGGAGAAGGCAAATGGGCAGAACATACCACATAAAGGGAAGAATGAACAGAAAAGGGGAATTTAAAAAAATTCAAACTGTAAAAGGCTCGAACAGTTTTTTTTAAAAAAAAAAGTTTCCCAGTGAACCTTGGGTTTAACTTAATAAATAAGTTTCAATCACAGTTTCTCTTGCAAAAAAAAGAAAGAAAGGAAGGAAGGAAGGAAGGAAGGAAGGAAGGAAGGAAGGAAAAACAACAACAGAAAAAAACCCCACTTCTCTCCCATTGTTCTACATGGAGAAATTTCTCCTTCTTTTCACTTTCTGAAATATTCCAACCCTTTTTCTCCTTACTAAATCCCTTTCAAGTATTCCGAACTTCTGACCACCACACTGTAAAAGCACAGTAAAAGCACTAAGAAGAACAATTCGGCTAACAGTATTTATCGTATGATTATTTTAAAATGTAAATGATTTAATGAGATAATGGAAAATACCTGTTAAAGCTCAAATTCCTGTCCCTAGGTTTATTTCCATTATTCTACAATACATAGATTACATCCCGATCAAGAAGTCACGCCAAACCCCCTACACACTATGAGCACCCTCCCCAGTGCATCCGGAGAGCTTTGCCCTAAAGAAAACGCCCTTCTCACCTGAGCCTCCAAAGCGCTTTAGAGTTCTTCATAACACACACAACATGTCAGGAACTCTGCCCTTCAACACTTTACAGTCTTATCAAGTAAAGTACTCATTCATGCAACCATATGAAATTTCAAATCTCTGAAAGGTGACTATCGGCCAGACGGAAGAGATAAGGAAGTGTAGCGGAGAACAGAGTGAGCTCCATGGAACTCATTCTATAAGGGGACTTTTCCTTCCACCTCCAGCACTCCAGGAAGTAGGGACACGCGCGTAACCAGTCCTCATGAGAAATACCGGTGCGGGGAGTTAAACTACATCACTAAGTATACACTATGATGCCACTGGCATTTGTTCGTGACAAGGATATCCCAATGAAGGACGCAGTCTCCGTGTTCCTTTGCGAGCTTCTGTCCATTCTCAAGGACTGTAAACTGGGAAGTTTACAGTCAGGCCACCCTGGGTGGGCCTGCTCTAAATAAGCAGCTACTCTACAATAAGGACCCAGGAGACATTTAACAGAAACAGTCAACCCTATTAGGCATGGGAGAGAAGTTCTGAGGCGAGTATCGAACCCTGTAGATGAGTAATGGGGGACTTTAAAAGATGGTCTGATGACAGAAATGGCCATGACGTGACAATGGTAGCCTATTCAGCATGGATACCTTGTAGGAAGGTGACCATCCCCAGCAAGACTGGCTGAAATAAAGTCAAGATTGCATGATGTCGTTCACAATAGTGTACAGTTTAACTTGATAACCTTATGTCTACCTAGGTGGTAAGAGAGAGGGTAGACAGCCAGCAAAGGAGCCTGAAACCACCAAGGACCTCCTTC